AAAAAATGTGTAATACATTATTATTGCTGCCATTTACTTTGCTGTTAGTTGATTTGCAAATCACTCAAAGCTTTAATTGAAAAGCCAAAAAAATAAGTTGGGCAGGGCCACGTGTTGTTTTCTTTTCTTTTGCTGTCACTGATAAATAAGCTTTGAACGTCCAGTAGCAGAGCTTCAGTTTGGTCAGGGAGGTAGACCAAGGCAACAGGCTGGAGCTGAATCATAGTTAACTGATCAGCAGTTCAACATAAGTTGAGCCCAGTCAGGACCCCCCCAAAATTTCCAACCTTGTTCCTCAGTCTGTCAACTCTGCCTTCCTGTAATGTAGTTCAGTAATCTTTCATTGAGCTTATTTATATATATTTCCAGAGTATTACACATCTACTCTTTACAGTTTTTCTTGGTTGATTTGTGCTCAGCAGGAATGTAATTCTCACCACTCTTTATACTAAAACAGTTAAGGCATTTTTCCAGACTCATTTGTGCAAAGACAACCAAAAAATCAAGATCTCTTTCACATATGTCAGAACGTGTAAAGTCAGTCAATCATTTCAACCTTGTGTAAAACCTTTTACCACCATTTCAGGACGTTGATACTGAGTTGCTTTTTCCTTTTATTAAAGCCTTACTGACTTTGAAAATAGTGCTAATGTGGGTTAAAAATTGTTCAGAAAAAAAAGAAATGTGAAGGATTTATTTAAAACTTTACAAAATTGATGCTTGTGAAACTATATGGATCAGAACACAGAGAAATATGCACAATCTGAATATAGTCAGAGTGTTCTGGTCCTTCAACACCCGACGCCGACCTTGTTAAGCCGGGATGGCTTCAGTTACATATCTCACACTGCAGTTTTAATGTGTTGTGAGATTTAAGTGAGAGGTGCATCAACACAGTAAAAATGTCTTTGGTAGTGAAGCGTGTGTGGAAATGTGTTCCTGATTTGAGAACTGCATTTAGAGTGGTGAGAATTACGTTTCTGCTGTGTGATTTGTGCTTCAGCCACCGAAAAAACTTATAACAGGCTTTAGATAGAAATTTGTTGTCCTACACTGAAGCCTGATGATGCCACTTTCACATTATCAGGGGTTGTTTATTCAAAGTTCTTGCAGAGGCAACAAAAGCATACAGTGTGTTAACTATACAGTGTGTTAACTATGGCAAGTAAACTCTGTTTAAGCCGTCTATAACTGACAAACAGAAAATACAAAGGCGTTGCTACTCTGCCTCTATGGTTCCCTTTGAAACTGTTGGCCTTTACAAATTCAATGTACATTTTTCTTCTTGTTTATCACATAGACTAAACCTGTCTGAAATAAATAAAGTATATAAATATTAAGAGCAAATGTGAAAGTAAATTTGAGAACGTTCCCCAAACGATCTCACTGTAACTTTGGGCATTTTCACATCTGTGCCATTTAGCAGTAAGTCTTGCTGCTCTAGGTCTGTTACCCCTGGTTTAGTCATCAGAAGGGAAAATCAGAAAAAACATAAAGCCTGCTAAAAACAAAACAAAAGAAATATTTTCAGTCCTATATTATCTGTAAATCCAGTGGAAAAGGAAGATATGATAAAAGTATATTAACAAATTCATTGCAGGAAACATTAGAAACATTAGAAACATTAGATTAGCACATAGAAAAAAATGATGCACATGGTTCAGCTTCAGAGAGGAGGAGGTGTGACCAATGCCCAGTTGTTATAAATTTTGCATCTTATAGATGTTTAACTGTTTTAGGAAGATGCTGCCCTGTATCGACACCTAGTGGCTGTGCTGCGCCATTGTCTGCTCCTGTCATGTGAAGGAGAAGACACATTAGAAGAACTCCAAGGGTCAGACTAGTATTTCTGAAGCTTTAGAAGGTTTTGGCTAAAATAATAGATACTGGAGTGATTATTGATAACCTAGATGACATTCTTACAGTTGATGTAAAAAGTGTTATGACTTCTGTCCACAGGCACACGGTGAATGTCCTGTCAGCATTGCCACTCACATGTCTGGATGTCCTGGTGTCTGTCCAGGTGGACCAAGCATCCCATAAGTGCGAGGGGGTCAACATGGACTGTGTCCA